CAAACAAGTTTTCAAAATATAATTACCCAGTATCACGAAGAGCAAATGGTAACTATGTGTACTGGGGCAACGAGCATCTTTTTTTTCTTCTTTGTCTATACCACCAGATTTTGGCCCAAAATATCTTAAACTGACCCTGAATTTACCTGAAATGGGAACTTTGTGGTATGTAGCCCTGCTAAAGACACTTCAGTCTGTAGGACGGCCCGGGGGAGGGGGGGGGAGCAATTTGAGGTCAGTTTACAAAACTCAAAACTGATTATAGGTTAGGGCTATCATTGTGCAAAACAAGCTTACTATGCAGACCAGTGCTTTTATGATGTGTGCACACACGGAATAGAGGAAATTAAGGAATTTTTTTTTTTTAATCTCTATAAACAACAAGAACCTAATTCCGCTGACACGGGAATTTCCCGGGACTGCCTGCATCTTTTTATTAGGTAGAAAATCTTCAACTCTAAAATGCTGATCTCTCAATAAAATCTGGGATCATATAGAGATCAAGAGACGTCAGGCAAACCGTAAAAAATAAATGTAGCCAATTGATACATGTACTTTGTATGATATACAAACAAACAAAAAACTATATAATATATACCTTTGTGGCTGTACTTGGTTTATTTGACTTTTCCATTTCCAGTACAGGATACACTTCACTCTCATCACTAGTTTCAGCTACAGTCTGTAAAAACCAAATTGTAAAAAAAAAAATCAGTTCAACTCTCTAAAGATGAGATTGTAAAATAATTCATGCAGTGATGGTGTCAGAGTACAAGACATAATTCGCTTTGTCTTTATGTTATGGCCTTCACAGGACAAAAATCAGGTAGATTTGAAAAAAAAGTCTGTTTTTGCATCCCGAAGGCAAACCCCGACAGAATGTTACAGAAACTTATCCTGAAAGAAAGGGAATTTCAGCAACGATGAGAGTGAAAGAATTTTTACAAGAAGTAGGATCTCTTTCTACGTCCTTTCCAGAGTTTATGAAACCACAGAAAGCGCAATTGCAAACAAATCGCAGAAAAAAAGTCTCTATCTAGAGCCACAGAGCTTCCTGACAAAGTGACAGCCGACATAAATTAGCTGTGACTGTAGGAGGGTTAAGAACGTTTTCAAAAAGCATCAGAAAGTGGAAAGGCTTCTACCAGTCAGCCAACCTTTACAGATTTGTAATGTATTCATCAATATTTTACCACAGAGGTGGTAAGCGTTGACTTGAACATTCATTTTGGTTTACCTCTGTATTTACTATTGATCCTCTCTTCAAAGTTGTCTGTATGGGGTCTTTTAATTCACTGTCCTCACTCGAACTGGAAGAATCATTTCCAGGAACATACTGTGGAACATGTTGTTTATTAAGAAATATTATATATGCTATTTGAGGCATCTTTGAGAGATATATATAGCCTAACATTTTTTTAAAGTCAAATCGGCACGTTATTTCCGATAATAAATTTATTAATTTCCATTTTCAAGGCTTGAAAAACAGAATTAATGCGGATGCGATGGGTCTAGACCTATGGTGTTTGTTAAACTCGAAAGTATTTCAAACTTTGCTTCAAAATCACAAAAAAGATCGTATGCAGTGTAAAATCTGCGAGCC